ATTGATCCTAGTGAAATGATAACTAAATATCACTTACCGCCAATTGAATCATTTTCTAGTGTTTATTTATTACCGAAACGTAAAAACTACTTACCATTAAATAATTCATTCAGTCATCTACCTAATGCTACTACTGTTGCGACTACTAATACTATTAGTGGTAATGAACTTGATGATACTAATACTGCTACACCGTCGACACGAAGACGTGCTGGTTCAGCCGATCCTATTTCTAGATCTTCAATCACTGGTAATACATTAGCAAATAATTTTAATCGATCACTGCTTAATTCACATGACTCAACATCGTTAGAAAATTCATTGAATGATGTTTGTGATAGTTCACATTTTGTTTCGAATGGATCACGTAGTAGACATCATTCACGTTCTGATTTATATAATAATACTAATCGTAATTTAAAAAGTCAGACTGAACCAGATTTTTGTTCTGTATACATATTGTTGTGTACAATGGCAAATTATCCGTAAGTTGATTAGTTTAGTAGATATAAATGCGTATTATATGTTTCTTGATGTTATTGTACCGATATTACATGATACGAAATAGATGTTTAATGCTATTTCCAATTCCCTGTGTTCATAAAATATTGACTAAGAAGTTCATATCTCCTGACATGGCCCAGATCAACAATCAATGAATTCATTAACTGATGGCATGCTTTGGTCTGTTTGCTTTTAGGTTTATTCCAATCTCTTATGTTAATCATGATTACTCACAAAGTCAAATGATGGTCAGGTGCATATAATTCGTAAGACGGTGGTTGGAGGTAGTCAACAGGGAACCCTGGACCCGGGTTTCATGCTACTTGGCACTCATCAGTATGGTGTACCTGTGATTTTGAGGAAACTGGTGCTCCCCGACGGATTCCTTCCCGTGTCACCCAACTTCACAGTCAGAAACGTTACCACTGGTCTATGCGGGCCGCGACCTACCTCCTGTAGGACTGAGATGTAATCACAATTGATCGATCACTGGGTAGTGACCAATGTCATGTGTGTCAAGTCCTTATTAGTGCAGATCGAATGCTGCCGACCAAGTCAAGGAGCACCAGTCCCCTCGAAATTACAGGTACACCTTGCTGACGAGTGCCAAGTAGCACGAAATCCGGGTCCAGGGTTTCCTGTTGACTACCTCCAACCATCTTATCTCAATGCAGTGCACACAATGTCTAGTCACTTAGCCTAATGTCTATATTGCAACTTGGTCGATAACATTCGATCTGCACTAAGAAGAACTTAGAACATGACATTGATCACCACCCAGTGATCAATCAATTATGCACATAATTCGTTGCAGTTACTTCAGTCAATAAACATTCGCGTCAACCGTTTCGTCATATTTATCTTGTACATGATACTGAATCTAAGAATTACTTTGGAATATGTTACGCATGTCTAATCTGCGTCTACTCCGACATGTAATGATAGCTAACAAAATAAGGTCAAAAGTTTGCGAGCAACCTGATTGAAAGCAAAGAATCATGACATGAATTTGTTTATGCATTGACTAACTTTAACAGATACCAGTAATGTAAGACGTAGTATTGTCTATACAAGTGTAGTTCTTAAATTTAATACAATAAATGCATATGCTTTACTATACTGATGCTTATTTTTTATTGGGAAATGTCTACTTTCAGGCATTACCGTGGATTTGAATTAGCCCAAACGGACCATGCGTGGAAATGGACATTAGCAGCGACTGTCTTAGCAGGATTTGGATTTTTCGCGTTTCAAATGGCGAAAACCCACTTGTAGTATATACATATTCACACACATTTCTTTCCTCTGTATTATATTATTATCTTCGAAGTGGTCTCAACCAGTTGTCTGCATGCTTCTGGTGACAACTCATTACAACATTGCTACATATTTAGGCGGAAAAATTCCAGGAAGTAATAAATTGTTTGGAAGATTGTTGTTCACAATAATTGTAATAACTATCGTCACTTATAAATCACAATTTTTAAAGTATATAAATATACATAACCCAATAGTCATCGGGGTTTTTGAAGATATCCTGCTTATTTCTTTTTTAATGTAGCTGCGTTGATTAGTGGTAGCAAAAAAGATCTGAAATTCCTGTAGGGTCTGTAGTTTGGAGTTACTTTCTCATAATCTTGAAAATTTCCACCGTCAGAATTGGCTACCGATCCGGGTAAACTATCGATGATGGGGTTTCTTATTTCAGCCATTTTTGTGACCCAGTATGTATGACGCCCCTCGTTCTCTGTTATCGTCGCTTATTTTTCATATTGCTGCAGCTATGATTCTTTAAGTGTGCAGTGATTGTGATGCATGTAAGATGCCTTCTATAATCACGTTCCGTTTGTCAACTCGGCTAAGGTTCATCTTCAGAGTGCATATAAATCCAGTCAATCTCTTTTACGAATTTCTAAATTTTCGTTCTAACAAATGGATAATCTAGTTTTCTGAAGTTGCTTTTCAGGTAACTTCAACTAATGTGAAAGTTTTGATATCAAATGTTCTACAAAGGTGGCATTTTGTCGCGTATTCGTTCTCTGTTAGTATTTTTGAATGTGGGTTCTCACTATTGACGCTGCAAGCTGTCGATGTTTCGTAACGAACTATTAGAATAAAATATTTTCATTAAGTACTTTATGATGTCCTCAGTTGTCGAAAAGCCAATTGTGCACACTCACTGATGACGTGACTTATTCATCGTAATTGTGATCCCTACTTATCTAATAACATAGAGTCATGTTAAATAAACCGTCTCTGGTAACAGGTTATTTTTTACTCTTTCTTGACTACCAATAAACAATGAATATTGACGATCGCAAACTAAATCAGGTAGATCTAGAACTATGTCCATACTAATTGAACTCCTTTAATTAGTTACGTACGTCAAGGTATAATCTTTACTGAAGTAGGTACCATGGGTTTTTGTGACACCATCGATCACAGAAGTTCATTTTCAAATCTACACAAAGGTTCCTCATGTACATAAAGTGTATCTACAAAAGAACAATCATTAGTAAATTTGCATAATTCAATGTAGATATACTCTACCCTTTACACTACTCACGAACATACATTACCAACTATGCAACCAGTCATTTTTGCTTACTGTATGGCTTGCACAGATGAGCACTATGCACACTACAATAACACAAATACAGATAACTGTATTAGCAATGATAGTGGAAGAGAACAATGGAGATATGGTTCTTGAAGATAAGATGAAAGACATGTATTATCATGGACCATTTTTATCGGCTCAATGAGATATTAATTTGTTGAATATCCATGAAATACGTTGTGCACCAAGACAAGTGATCTTCAGACATCCTTAACCTGCTTATTTTTGAATGATGCTTAGTTATCTAACTTAATAAAGAGTTGATATCTATGGTTGCTTCATAACTACTATCTTGTTAATGTGATTTCTCTCTACACACTGATAGAAGGTTCTTGATAGCAATGGTGTTTAAACACATGATGTTTGAAGATGGACACACAATGGCTGAGAAGACTTTATACTTTGAACACATTGAGAAGGTCAAGAAAGATGAATGCTGAAACAGTCAATCGTGACTCATTTGCTCGGCCATACAGCCGTAGTCACTCTGTGTAGCTTCTTTGCACTCATATAGAATATACTATTTTATGTTTGGTCCAAATATGCTTTTAAAAATTTAGTACAGATATAACTGGCTGTTACAACACGATCGTGTGACTTCAACGTAAGATCTTTTATGTTAGATAATCACATCAATGCATGTTCACTATGTTGGATAGGATCTATTATTCTAGTGTCACAAACAAATTCACTTATACAGTCTTAATATAAATCTCACAAGTTCCGTGAATCACACGTTTGTATGCAAAGTAAATCAAACTCCATAAGCATATTAGTCATTTTCTTAGAGATTTTCTCGAAAAATATTTTTTTAACGCGTTACACGGAGACAACGTCGAAAATCATCTCTTCCCTTTCAGTTTTTCTGTCATAAGGATTGCGAAAACAGCAACAGCTGATATCAGGACCAGTACAGAATGAAAAAGTAATGCATTTTACTGTTTGCAGGCCTTACTTCATCCTTTTATCTGGTACTGATCGATGTATCAATGCAAAATAGCATTAATTGAATTATTAGTGGTAAACCTATGTTGACATGAATTGTGCTCAGGTGAATTACCTAGTAGAATTCATATTTCCATAATGTCATAAACTGCCAAAAAATGGTTGGGCTTACGTCAAAACTATTATATATATTTATAGTTTATCATTAACCATATGATATATGACCAGGCTACAAGTCAAGTAAATGTCAGTCGGAAACGTTGGATAAGGAAACGACTTATCTGAAGAACATTAATGATTTTTTATTTACTTGTGAGACCAGAGTAACAATGCTGGGTTTTAGACAAATCATACATCAGGTTGAAAAGCTTTTGCAATTGACGACAGATCACTAAAGGTTAAAGATTGTTTAAGTCAATGATGACCCTTTGTGGATGGATGATGCTCAAGTTAGTTATTACCGTGAAGTATGACTTTAAAGTGAGCTAGGAAGTCACGTCATTCCCGTTCATCTAACTAAATTACGATCATCGACACAAATCACACACATTATTGGCCTACATGTCCACCAGATGAATTGAAAACTTCCTACATGACTTATACTGTTCATATAGTAACAATTACGAATTACCCAAGCCATGTCTGTGTTTCTACTATATTTAACGTTTGTGTGGTTAGAGGTAACAGCGCGTTTATAGTTTGTTGAACAGTCTTCTTTACTTCTTCAAATCGGCTGAAGAACATCAGAAAACTATTGAGTAGTAAATTTGTTATTTCTATTAGTTTTGTACCTCAAATCAGTCTGATAAATTTGACGTAGTTGCAATCACAGATTTCTGGGCTTCAACTAAGAAGCTTAAAGGTGGTAAACCGTTGACAGCTATCACTTGACACTCACTGTGTTCAGATCTGGAAAGATGCAAAAACTAAGGCGGATAATTCGCTTCGAAGGTTACACCGTGGCCTTGACGCCCAACCTTGAAGAGATGACGGTCGATCAGGCTGTAATAATTTCATTTCTCATAATGTCCTAAGTGTCGATCCTTATTTGATTAAATCTGTTATCAGCCTTTCAACTACTGCTTCGATTGCTTCACTGACTTACTATCGGTGGTTGTAATTGTCCCACTGAAAACCTACGAAATTTCGGCTTGGATAAATAAAATGATCGTGCCTATTTAGTTAACAAACCAGTTGTGGGCAAAACAGAGTTATCACTTAATCTACAGTACATCCTAAATACAGTAATATTGAATTTAATCAACACCTTACGTTAATTTTTCAGTACACTATTGAATGTTCAGATATTGGGATTGTACATATTGGATTATGAAAATGATCTTTGTTGTCCATATACATCTTCAAGTTACTAGTCTTTCACCATAAATATCAGCAATGTCTTTTCGAGCATAGTTGGCTTCTCGGAACTACTAAACACCACTGATTTTTTTGTCATTGAATTTATAAATATTATAACTATGGTCCTAGTCAAGCATGTACTAATCGAAAGAGTCCATGATTTGTAAGTGTCTAGATATCTTTTTCATGCTGAGTGAAAACTATCATAGTCTCTCTCATAACATGTACTAATACTTACTGAGTAACATTAGTAAAACTGTTTTCTAGTCCTTCTTAGTGTATTTCATATATATGTTAACGGGCGGTGATAATAGAATAAAACGTTTTTGCCGTATTTTAATACGGAAAACAATCTATATATATATTGTTTGCGTCTTGTTTTTGAGATCCCCCTCGCTTTGTGTAATGAGCTTCTTATTATTTACGAATAATTTCAGAGCCGCCCTACTTTTGATGCAACACGCAAGACTTTTCTGGCACCTATGGTACGTGTTTCGACACATCCTATGCGTCTTCTGTGTCTGGAATATGGTGCAGATTATGTGATTTCTGAAGTATGTTGAATTGTTTCGTATGAATTCACTTATTAATTTTATTAAAGACTGTACTTGTTATTGAGGCATCGTTGTATTTCACTGTTTTAAAGCTTTTCTAGTTATTAGGCTTGAGTGCAAATCCATCTACACTGTTAAGTACGTGGTTTTAATTAAAAATTCTAGAAATATTTTTGTTTTAAATGATGAGGCTGTTTATTCTACCTTTTATTGTTGTAATCCTAATCTCACAGACTATTCAGGTTTGTTTTCTATAACTTCAACGATATAGATTGCGTTTCTTTACCACAAGTATACATTTTCACAAACGATAGCTTATTCGAGTTGTTTTCCAAAAGGTAATCAAACCAGTACCATGGCTTCCGATGCATATTGAGTTTTTAGTCAAGATGTTTGGTACATGGGAGTTTATTGGTTGGATTTAAACGTTTTATGGTAGTGGATTTGCACTGGATGCCTTGAGCGATCGAATCCAAATTGTATTATGGTACTGAAACAACATGTATGAATGAAGATCGACCTGTTTGATGCTCTCAAAAATGTGGTAACCAACAGAGTAAATAGTAGTCTACAGTTCTAACTCAGTTAGTTTCTCTGCGGTTAGAGCCTTAGTTTGCCAGATTGAAATCTGAACCACCTTTCTCATTTTCAAGCTCGATAGTGTTTATCAAATTGTAGTATATTCTCTCGACAAGTGACCCATCAATTTTATTGAGATGTATTAAGTTTATTGATAAGTTTTTATGTATGACTCGAACACTTAATGTTTTCAGGAATTGATCGACCAAAGAATTATCCGCTCTTCAAGGATAGTAAATGGTAAGTATCAATCTGATAATTTCTTTGATTTGTTCTTTATGTTTTCATTAGCTGAATTGAATACCATTGATTTCGTTTTACCTGATGGTTCAGTGACATTTCGTACATCAGCGGAAGAGAAAAATCGCGTTATTGTCCAATTAGTATGTCATTCATTATGTTTATTATATGGTGTCAATTATAATCATTTTCAGGGAACTCCAGAGCCTGGGACAGCATTGAAAGCCGCCAAAATGCTGTAAGTTTTCTCTGTTCCACGTAATCTGAGCCAAACAGGGAAAATGATGTTATGGGTATTGATGTGAATATGGGTTGTCCTAAAGCATATTCTATAAAGGTTAGTATATATATGACTATCATTGATTTTATTGTGATATCACTGGTTCATACATTATTGTGAGATTCTTACTTAGCAGATTGTTTTTGTTCATCAGTTAAAAGGATAGCAGAAAGGAGACATGAAACAGTGAATCGAGTTACTGTTGTGTGGGCTAGTTATACCATTCAGATGGGACAGTCTTAATAGCCGAGTGTTTTGACCATCGAGCCATCACTCTGTATGCAACATAGAAATAGGAAAAATGAGGGAAATTAAAACGAGCTGTAAAAGAAAATTTCATGGACAAAAAATAAGTACACACAAAAGTAACTAGATATCTAAAATTCAAAGCAAAGTGGGGTACATTTTATTTTTACTATTGAAGTTGATATTAAGAAGTGCTATTTGACCTGTTTCATCACAAAATTCATCCAAGAAATTCGCAGTCGATAACTGCCTAAAACTCAGCAGTATTTTGGACTGCTACCATATTGTGGTGGGAATATCCTTAATCTTCTACATTAGTCAACAAAACACTTCGGAGTGAAATAGTTTAATATTCACATAGAACATATCAAGAACTGTAGTGTTTCTGTTTGAGTTTCATAGTATTTTGTATTGTAATAATTTGTATGCCTTTTGCGATAGCGCGTAAGTATCCACAGCCAACAGCGATAATTATTCAGTTCAAAGAAATTTTAAAAAAACGAAGGATTATTACATTACGTACACAGCTGAAAAATAGTTTTCTTAAACGTTTTAGCGGATTTCCTACATTAAGTCATCTTAGTTTTTGATACAAACCATTTCTATATGTAGTAAATATCCATGAAATTTTGTCAATATGTTAATTAACACAGTTACGCTTGATACTAGCCTTATAATTTGTACAACCCAGTTTGTCTTTTAAATTTTCTTGTTTGCTTTAAGGGTGGAATGGGAGCAGCCTTACTGACAAAACCAGAAATTGTCAAAGACGTAAGTTGTTTATCCTTATGACGATAATGATGTCAGAAGTTTATCTGCACTCAAAAAGTCTATCTTATAACGATTGTATAGTATGTCATATATTAATTTACGAAAACATATCGCTTACAAGTGTTGGGATTATCCGGTTGTTGATGCTATGTGCTATAACTGATCGACATCTTTCGGCTTATATGTATTTTGAGCAGATCACTCGGATAGTACCATTAACTCAAAAATATTTTCATCCAAAGTCTTTCAACGTAGTCTAGCCCTATTCGGGACTCATCAGCTGGGCGTACTTGCACAATAATGTTGATGTTCGTTCTGAGACTTGAACGTAGTTACTTCCACTCGAAACTTTCGAAGCATTATTCACTTAGACACTGATATGTGAAAAGGGAATAAAATTTAATTTCACTTTTAAGGAAGTAGAATTAAGGTAAATAATGCGTTGGGGTTTAAACAGAAAGCCACTGGGGCCAGGTCTCGGTGTTGATATCAACATTGGGGTGCAGGGATGTTCAGCTGATGAGTCTAAAATAGGACGAAACTCACCTTATTACCACTGCTAGACACATCGGAACACATCAATATAGTGATATTTTAGATTATCATAAATTTTGGTAAGAAGTGGAGTAATATTATGCAGTTAGTTCCCTTTATGAATTTAAATAAAGCCAGAACAAATATTGGTGCAGAATAATATGAATTCATTATATTTCGAGGCTTTTCGTCAGCTGCTTACAACCCAATATGTATTAGAATTTAACATTGAGGTAAGAAATACTAGAAATCAATTGACATAGTTGAATGTAAAGAATTGGAATGACCAAGGTTAACAATTATATATATATATATATATATATATATATATATATATATATATATATATATATATATATATATATATATATATGCAAGAACAGGTTAGGGGTTATTTGGTGTTAGAATCAAAGAAACATTAAGGATAGGTAATGAAGGATCCATGAATTTAAAAAACTGATAAGATGGGTTACATCATAATTGAATTGAATTTGAAGAGTTCACGTAATTTAAGAGGATCAAGTGAGCGGAAATGTGTGAATGAAAGGGTGGTTTAAGAATTCAGTAATGGAAGAGAAATATAACACAAACTAAATATTTTAAAAAAAAATAAATAAAATAACACTAATAACCAAAAACAAAAAGCAACTAAAAAATCGAATTATTAAGGTAGTAATAAGTTTATTACTGTCTCTTTTTGAATACATAAATCCGATCTGTTTCGTTATCGCGATCTCTTCAGCAAAACGGAGAGCAGCCGTACTTCTTTGTCTGCTAATAGTTTTAAAAACATGAAGAATGTCAATGGTATGTCCGGTGTCATGTAAATGCCGAGCTATTGCACTGTTGAGAGCCCTAGTCCCTCGCAGACTCAATTTCTTTGGAACATGCTCAGAAATGCGAACATGTACTCTTCTCTCAGTTCTTCCAATGAATTCATATCATTCTGCACCAATATTTGTTCTGGCTTTATTTGAACTAATATTAGTTGCTTCCAATAATTTTCGCAGTAATTTATCTTGTCAGCTGAAAATCAATCTCAGTATAGTTAAGACGTTTCACTTTTTAACGTACTTAAATTACGTTTAAAATGTACGCTGATTAATTGCCATAATTTTATTCAAGGCTGGAGTGTTATTTTTCTACTGCTCTTTCATTTTTACTGTTGCTTTAACAACAACATCGAATTCCACTACACTAACATATTGAATATAACTCTCTAATATTTGAATAAATTATTCATGATTTCAAGTCTTACTATAAACATCTATGTTCTAGTGCAAGCTCGTATTTGTCTGCGTCTTGCTGGACGTAAGAAAGACGCTGCAAGGAAACCTCTTAGGGTCCTACTTAGTGATCACCAAGCTAAGAATTTATTTCAGGAACAACTAGAAAAACAGTTAGGCAGCCATTTAAGTGATGCCCACCACAAGACAGCGTGGAATGACATCCGAAATGTTGTGGAAATTACAGTGATATATGCTAGTACAGTAAACCATAAGGTTAGGGAGAAACACTGCATCTCACCAGCATCTATCGCACTGATGGATGCCTGGAAACTCATCCCATCTGGCTCTGAGCATAACGAAGAGCGGAGTCAGTTTAAGCGCAAGTTGACAAAAAGCCTACGCAATGATGGCGAACAGTGGTGGGTAGCGAAAGCAAGAGAGATGGAAAAGATAGCGGCAATAGGTAAGAGCAGACAACTGTTCAGACTCGTTAAGTAAACCGGCATTATGAACCCCAACTGTTGGAGAAAGTATCTCAGAAAAAGATTTACGTATTATTCATTCTCAGTCGAAGGGATTGAATCGATGGGCAGAACACTTTAGGGATCAGTTCAACTGGCCTTCAGCCACACTTCGGTTTCCCACGATCTCCAGTCGACCTGAATGGCAAGTTAATTTAGGTCCTCCGACTGTTTATGAAGTTGAAAAAGTTATAGGAAATCTGATGCGAGGGAGAGCAGCAGGCCCTGACAGGTTTACTCCTGAGATTTTTAAGGATGGTGCTCCAGTATTAGCAGTGAGATTAACTGAGGTCTTAGGTAGAATTTGGGAACTGGACGTAATCTCATCTGACTGGTCTCAATCAATGACTGTGCCAGTCTATCAGAAAAGACAAAAGTCCTCTTGTGACAATCACAGAGGAATGAGTTTGACAAATGTAGTGTCTAAAATATTAGCTTCAATAATACTTCGACGCTTAAGCGAAGCTCGTGAAGAGCAGACTAGAAAAAATCAGTCTGGTTTTCAACCTGGACGATGTTGTATAGACCAGATATTCACGCTACGTCAGGTTCTAGAACACAGACACGCATTCAGACGCCCCACAATCGTAGTATTTCTCGATCTTATGGCGGCATTTGACTCGGTTGTTCGTGGGGTACTGTGGTAGTGTTTGTCACTGAAAGGAGTATCAAAGAAGTACATTAACCTTGTAAAGGCTCTCTACTCGAGCACAGCTGGTCGAGTGAGAGCTTATGGCGAACTGTCATCAGAATTGATTACCTCAAGTGGTGTTTGTCAGTGCTGTCCACTCTCTCCATCCTTGTTTAAGTTTGGGTAGGGAAGGCAAACCGATTGATGAAGTAGTTCAACTTCATCAGTTGAGATGGCTTGGATACGTGTTACGTATGCTGAATCACCGACTGCCCCGACGTGCCATGTTTTGTTGTGTAGGAGTAGGTTGGAAGAAAGCTAGGGGCGGCCAGACCAAAACATTGCACAAATCCATGAAATCACTGACAAGTTGGCTGAGTCATGTTGGTAGGTGTAGACTACGTGGTTGGTATCCGCGAGATAATAGTGACCGATGGTTAGAGACGTTGCGTGACATGGCTCAAAATCGTTTGCCATGGCGCAGGTTCATCCACTCTTTGTGTTTTCCCAAATTCTAATCTTCTGGATTCTTCATGTTCCTTTCTTTTTTCTCTTTCCAAATTTGTTTCACTGTATTATACTCCTTGAAAAATATCTTCAAACCCTAATGATTACTGCTTACACTCTTACTACCTCTACCGCTATGGGATTTGAATCGACCACTGCATCTCTGTGCTAATGTGGTATGGCAACTCGAACTGATGTACGTCCGTACGAAGTTCTACGTTGTTACTGACTGATGTTGGAATACAGATATATTCAGCTAATAAGTCCCAAATTGAATGAAATGCGCCTTCTGGATTTCACTGTTAGATGTGGTTACAAAGTTGAAGTATAACAGCACCCAATTTTATTGGTTCATGATGACTATTGTTCGTAAATCGATGTCTATATTTCAAAGTGCGAATATCCCCATTATAGTTTATATATAAGTAGTATTTATAAGGATTTTCATCAAGTTTGAAATGAGTTTAGTTTTACGTAAATTAAGAACCATGTAAACAGAAGACAGAAAACATAATTTGATATATATTTTAAATGAACTCATTATAAACATCTTCACTGAATTATTTTGTGACTTAATGGTGGGCATATTCAAGTAAATCTTCAATACATTTGATGATTCTACTTATTTTTCTGAAGAAGTCCAGACGAAACTCTTGAATGAAATGTGTTAAGATTTATTTAATTTCCACCGGTGAGATATTTTACAAATAGAATTTTATATCTAATATAAGCAGTATTTCATGTACCTGAATACTTATCATTACATTATTTGTAGGTAATTATATTCGTCATAGATTGATCTTATATTGGATACCACTGAAAATCAGGGAGAATTGAAGGGTTGTTTTATTCTAGTGTCATGATGTTTTAGCAGTGCGTACCAACGAACCTACCAGGAACTAAAGTTGGAATTGTGCGATTGGACGACGGTTCAGAGATCCCTGATTCGACCTCTGGAAGGATTGTGAGTGCTCATTTTTAAGGATAAAACAGTTGCCCAATTCTTCCTGCTCTTCATTCGTATCCCAAACTTAAGAAATCCGTGACGAATAGTATATACAAGTCAAAGTATTCTCTTTAGAGTCCCTTGAGTTAAACACTCCTCATTATTTTTCGTTTGTAGATTCTTACTACTTTGACTACAAATCTCCGAATTCCAGTTACTTGTAAAATGAGGATTTTACCTGAAGTATGTGATGATATGTTATCATTCTATGCTTTAATTGAGTAATTAAAATAGTTTGAATTAAATTACAAATGGTAAAATTGGTAGGCAATTAGGTCGATATGAATTCATTTGTTGCAAGGATGCCCGTATATATATATATAAAATCCAGGCCGACCCCTAGGATAATGAAAATATAAAAGACGGTATTGTCTAGATGAATAATTCAGTTATTTATTATAACTCACACTTGGATATAATTAATTGCATAAATTTGGTATTTTATATAATTTGCCAAGTCCCTATCTTGCTTACCTTGTATGATGATTTCTTCTCACGGGTTACTCTAAAAACATTTAATTTCCTAGTTTAAATGCTACAGATGTATCATAATAAAAAAATTCATTCTTTACTCAATCTTTTTTGGCTTTGTTGTGTTTGATATTAACTGTCAGAACTTGAACCGTCGGTATAATAGCATGAATCTATAGCTTAGTGGTTAAGGTGATCAACTTTCAACTAATATGTCGTATGATAGAATCCCGTTCTATCTGTTTCTGTCTGACCGACCGAGTGATATGACTGGCCTTCCTTTTTGGATTGATCTAAAGTTTCTAATCTTCTTCATTTTCATGGGGATCTTTGTAAGAAATTCTGACAGATTCGTGGTTTTAATGCGATGTAACATCTTCCAAAATCTCATACTGACAATATTAATTTTTTCTATGTTCTTCATACTATTTTTTGAAGATTCTCATATTTCACTAGTACGTCATATCCACTTTTGATTTTCTACTTCTGCCGTTTACATTACGTCTCCTTGTCTCTTAAGTACTCCTCCAATGGTACACTGTAAAAGTAAGTGTCAGATGTTACAAACATATACCTAGTTGATTCCACATATTCGAAGCTACGCTTATGGTGACGATTGAATTGAATTTCAATTTTCTTGTTCCTTCCGTTTCTTGATAGCTTAGGTTTTATTGCGTTGAGAGCCATTTCAAGCTTCTGGTTAATCATGATTTCTGATGTAAACTATTGGTTCAGTAGTAATTGATTTAGTGTTGTCCGGTAGAATAACAGGAAGTTATCGAGACTTTTAATTATCGTTCTTTCGCTTAAATCTATCCATTAGTATTTCAACTTAACCATTTGACTGAAATTGGCGGTATATTTAGCTGGGTGTATCCGTCTTCGATTAATGACGTTTCAGAATTAAAATAATTAAGTTATTTATTAAAACAAATGGAAAATTCAAACATCCAGTGAATGTAAAATAGTATAAATTACATTTTTTTTCTTTAAATTTATTATAGTTAGAAAAAACAATTGCTTTGGCTAAGCTAATTGAATCGACAGGTGTTGCAGCGATCACAGTACACGGTAGAACAATCAATGAACGTTCAATGCATCGGAATCGTAATGAAGTTATTCAAGCAATAGCTCATTCAGTAGGTATACCTGTTTTGGCAAAGTAAGCAGATAGATGACAGTGTGAATAAATTTTGAGTTATATATATTTGTGTTTGCATCATAATTATAGCTTGTTAGTATTCATTTCTTGGAGTATGAAGTCAAATATAGTTTTAAAAAGTTGTCAAACGGCCTTTTCTTCATGAAAATTGGGGTACATAGTAGAGTTTCTACTAATAAAATGTTATCAGTTCACCACTCAGTATCTTTGCGTTGGTCAATGAATCAGGCCTAATCAACAAAGTAGAATTCGGCATGGTGATGTGTCAGTTCCTATGGCCATACTTCACATCTGAACTGCGAGACAGAAAATTAGTAATTGATGGAGTGAAAAGGAAGTGGGAATCTAAATTTGAGAAACACAGTTCAGAATTGTCAAGTTAGTTTGGAGAGTAACTGATGGTGAGGACTAGGAAAATATAATACTGGTTATTACTCGATAATTAACCAATTGAAAATATTTCAGTCCTTCAGGCGGTCTGTTGCGATTCAAATAGCTCAGCGGTAACGGCTCAGGCTGCGAAGTTGAGTGATTTAGGTCTGGATTCCACAGAGGATATCAATTCCCCCACGAATTCAGCCACCTCTTGTTGACAAGTGCTAAATAACACGAAATCTAGCTTCTTATACAGGGTTTCCTACTGACTACCTTCAACCATCTAACATATCAATAATCAGTTGTCAGTAGTTTGATTGTGTGGAACTCGCAATATTTTTCCATTAAAACCCTGCACATCATGTGGCCATTATTTAGACCTTTGTCAAAGACACTATTCTCTTATTAGTTTAAATATAATGGAGACTTTTAAACGATTATATATGTACACATATTACCGATCCGATTGATCAATTTTTAGTAAAAATGATTGGTATATATTGTAGTCGGGACTAGAGATTTCCCTATTGAGACAGTATTATGGCATACGTAATAAACGCCCTGACTATCTCTATCAATTAGAACATACTACCTCATCAACCGATTTGCAATCTTTTTGTATTACTGTATACCTAAACTCAACATTACTCATTTGATTTTTCCATGAAACACGAGTAATGATTCAGGTATACTTACAATGAAGAACGTATAGCCTGCACATGTATTCAACCTCCATGCATTATGTTTCTTTGTAGCAATACAGTGCTAATTTAGTAGAATAGGTATAAACCTTTGTCGTAATGATTAACTGACTAATAATCTGTTATGCTACTCTTTGGGAATAATGAGCTATTTACATGATTATTATGTGTTAACATTGCTTTTTCTGCTTGTTTGAATAAAATTATCCTCTATTGTATATTTTTCTTTTATTTCTATTGTGTTTATCTTCATTTAAGTGGTGGTTCTCGTGATATGATTAGAAATCATGAAGATATTGAATATTTTCGACAATTGACTAGTGCAACTGGTGTTGTTATAGCCAGAGCTGCTATGTGGAATCCTGCCATATTCAAATCACTTCAAGTTGATGAACCGTTACCTAAACTTGAGGAAATTATTTGTAGATATTTAACTCTGGTAAGCAATGTTTCTTTTTTGTATATGGTTTTTTGTTGTGTATTACTTAACAGTACTGAACAGGCTTATTTTCATGTTGTGGCATATACATATATCTTTCATGACGTTTTTTTGTTTGGTGCAATATGTTGAGACTATCCTTCTCGTCACTAGTATACCGATGCAGTTGTTCAGCCAACCATTCATCAGATGTTGAGCGCACGATATTGGTCAATATATGATTTCTATTACTAGGGGATATTATGCATGAGATTCGTGGAAAAGTGTGGCTCAAACTTCCATGGGACGAATACATATATATGACTGAGTACATGGTTATTCCTCCATTTGGTTAATCAATGGAAGCCTCCTTTTCACTTTTGGTCTCTTCCCTCGTGTAACTAGTTGGGCTCATGTATAGGAAGCTTGTGTATCAATATCAGAATCAGACAATACACAAAAGAACATACACTTTAAATCACTATTTATTAATACACCTCCCACTATTAATTAAAGTTGGCTAGCAGCCATCACCGAAAGACCATTGAACCAGCATTTGTTCAAAAGTGTTTATTACAATGTTCTCTCGTAAAATCCCATCACCTCTCTCAGTACTTTGATTTGTATTACTTCCGTTTCCTAATGGTCGCTTCAGATGTCCATTTTCATCTTCTCTCAACTGTTCAGCTCTGTTATCATCAAGTGAATTGTTTACTTTTGGTTTTGTCCATCTACTGAGCATCTTGGAACAAATTCAACTTATCCATCTTTTAGTACAAATTTATATTTTCAGATTTAGAGCAAAGGTTTTTATGGGAAGATTTGTAACAAGTATCTTTCTGCCCGAGCACTATTTTAACTTGCTATTAAACGATTGGTTGTCGAATACTATTCTAGTGAACGAGAACACCAGTGGGGACAATGGAATGTATTTAACACAAAATTACGGGACTTATTAATAAAATCTTAATTTGCAAAATGTCCATCGATTGTCTCAAAATGATTCAGACTTCATTGTTCTTACATTTTCATACAAATTTCATTTTGTTTCCATTCTTTACTGTTCGAGCCTCTTGTCTCTCTGCTTCCAAACCTTCTGTTTACGGCTAACATCATATACTACTTATGTCAATATGAGTAGCGCACACCACACTATAACCAATAACCCATCAGTTTTCATTCCTAATGGGCATTCATCATAACTGATGATTTGCTTAAACTACTGACGGCAAAATATTTCTAAATGTAAACTTGCTAACTTTAATATTCCCGTCGTAGAATTGTTTTAATTGATTAATTTCATTTGTAAACTAAATGTATTCACGTGGATTCATAAAATGCTTACAATCTGTAGCAAATTGAGATACTGAGAAATTCGAGAACTATTACCACAGTTATTCTTATGATTTTTTCGAGAAATCAGATAAAATTACTTTAGAATTCATCGATTAGGTTTTTTATACAATGAAAAAGAAAAAGAATTCCATAGACACTAGACTGATTGTAAACAATCGTGGATAAATATAAATGATAGTTAATTAGTTTTTCAAATGAATTGAGCAAACTGTTAATTTCAGCATGGGGATTTGTGGAGATTGTAGCATTTTCACAGTTGAATTCACGAGTAGATGATATCTCAGTGGTCTAATGGTTAAGCGTCCACCTACGAGACCGATAATCCTGGGTTCGAACTCCGCATGTGGGATCATTGATGCGTACTGCTGACGAGTCAAATACTAGGACGAAACGGCCGTCCAGTGCTTCGAGGTTTTCACTGGTGGTCTAGCTTAGATTACCCCACGAATTCAACTGAAAATTCTTAATAATAAAAATAATGATGTACCTAATGAATAGAAAATTAAATTTTCTGACATTTTGTGACTCAGTGTAAGACACTTCTTCAAAGAACAAATCACATTTTTAAAAAAAAAAAGTAAACCTTTCTATGCATAGATTTTAAATATTCACGAGTTGAATGTTTGCAGAAACGGTAATTTTGTTGTTATTCTACATAGTTAGTTTTAAGAATACTTTACTGTAAGCTAAACATTATGAAATAAAACTTATATATTTGTAGGCCATCATGTTTTAAATAGAACTGAAAATATGTTACAGATTGGTTTTTTCTTCTACCAACCGTCTAAGCCATAAATGCTTTCAGATATCATGCTGCATTCCTTTTAAATTAATTGTTTCATGGTTGCTTGTAGCTTAGTGTTTTACATTTTTAATTAAAGCTCTTTGAGACTCTAACGTCATCTCATTTTGTATTGTTTGAATATAGATATATGTATAATATCTCTTTACAAGGTTAACTAACATCTTCTATGCTGTTTGTATATTATTGTATTTCTAGTCTGTTCGTTATGATCATCATATAGCTGGTGCAAAGTATTGTGTTTTACGGATGTTACACGATTTCGGTGGTACGCCGATATATGAAGATGTATTAGCCGCGAATGAACTACGTGATCTATGGTATTTGTAATTTGATTTCAGTTCAGATTTAATAATTAACATTAGATTTTGTTTGTCTATCTACATATATGTTTATTACAACTCATAATTGGATAGATTTCTTAAAGTTGTACATAATATACACAGCAGTACGTACTGATGGCTTCATCAGGGCTCAAATTCAAAACCTTCAAGTTTCTTACAGGGTGCGTCACGTTTTAAAACCAAGAAATCGTAACTCAATAATTTACATTTCTAGCATCAGTCACTTTTCAGTAAAGCTTGACACATTAATTAAACCAATCTTTATAAACTTGTCAGCCACATATTTGGAAAATGTCTATAGAATTTTAATTTATTGTATTTGAACATGTCTAATTAACGCCTCTTTCAATCTATGATTGTAATCAAACTACTTAACAGAGTGAAAAAGTCCCATAATGATCAATCAAGTCAAATATTAACACTTATCCATAAACTCATTAACTTGACTTTTCCATTATCTACGTGTAAAATGTTAACTTCCAAGTTGTGGGTTGCATTTGCCACTCAGTAATTAAATATATACAGATCTCTATGTAACTATTAAGGCACATTTTTGTGTTTATATGGATGTGTGAAGCTTAGTGATGCCTTATCTATCTACTTATACAACTAATCTGATAAAATAGTATGTTTTAGATAGTTAATATATGTTACTCAAATTCTCAATTTTTGTGTAAAGACCTTCAGTTAAAGTAACAAACGGTCTAATGAGTTCTATTTGCCCATGTAACTGTATACTATTTTGATTAAACGAATGAAATAGTTAACCTTATTGTTTAACAATATACTGACTTTATCAGGTGAATAACTAAACTATTTTTATCACCGAAATAGGATAATTCTGTTTATGTATTTATAGTTAGCTGATTGTTATTTCTACTTAGTGAATGATGTAGTAATAATCATAGTGATTTCGAAGATAGCTTACTGTAAATAAATATTTTCATATAAAAATATTACCTTAAAATCAACGGTTTGATCAAAGAATACTTAATGAAAAATGGACGAACTAATTTATTTAATCAGAGATGGTTGGTGGCTAGCAATGGAATCTATGACATGCGTTTCGTTCTATTTGGGATTCGTCAGCTGGGTGTACCTGCATCCCAGAGTTGACGTGTGATTCAAACAACCAACACAAAAAATGAATTTATTCGCTAACGTTTTGTATTTTTTCCTTTTTTTCACTTACCCCTAACAATTTCTTTATTTTAGAGATAAACTATAGTTTTTATCCTATTAAAAATCTGTGTAGTAGTTAAAAAGGTTTACTAAAAGGAAGTTCTACTACAAATCTTGCAAATTTACAAATAATTAATGTTATGTTGATTGTGGCCTAGGGTAATTTTGAATAACAAACGATTAGAGGATTCTTCTAGTACGAAATTAGAGCTATGGAAACTAAGTAGATTGAATGAATGGTGCACTACAATACTTCACCCTTAGTAGTCTTCCATACAATCATAGCAACAGACATGACCTTGAAATGTAGCATTATCTAAATAAGAGCTAGAACAAATTATTAGACCAGGACGAAGATTAGCGGAGGTGTTTCAATAGGAAGAAAAAAACCAAGGCTTTCCTGATACGTCAGAACAATCATTTATATGAACAGAAGTTTTTAAAAGAACTAGATAATTCGAAGTATTCCTAGCAATTTATTCATCAATCGTTCATCTAGTACATTTCTATTCCTAACATTATTAATCTACTCGATTTCAGTGTCAAGCTCAAACTAATTTACTTATTGTAACTAGTGGTTAGAGACTTTAAATGACATGCCTCAAAATCGTTTGCAGTAACGCAGGCTCATCTATTCTTTGTCTCCTCTAAGATTCTGAGATTTTGCATTCTTTATAACTTTTTTCGTGTTTTTATTTCGTTAAATTATATTTTCTTTTCGACTAGTATATTCGATGCCTAATCTTTTCTATTACTACTAATACTGTGAATACCTCCACCATTCTTAGATTTAACTTGACAATTTCATTTCTCTGTACTAATAGAATATAGCAACTTGAACCGATGTACATACAAACCACGTTCTACGTTGCGACAGACTGATTGAATTTGCTTACTTCCTTACTTATTTATTTTGAAAATTGTTGTACATACTTTATTCCGTTTATTTCTTTTCTTAATAAATCAACTACTTATTATTACTATTGTGTTCATCTAGTGCCATATGGAATATGTTAGATGTTTACGATCATGAAATGTCTAATCGATTAGAACGTTTAAAAAATCATCAACTTACATTAAACAATTCAACAATTAGTTGTAATCAAGAAATAATTTCATCTCCTTCACTATCAGTTTCTTCTGACTCTCTCTCAGTTCCAGAGAAACGACCTCGTGTAGAAGAACATTTATCAAATACTACAACAGTATTAGTGAATGATAATAATGTGCCTGAGATAAAAATAAATACTTTCGAAGAAATTGTACTCTCTATTCCATATGAACGTAGATTTTGGCCTGATCATGGAACTAGTCCAAAACAAATACTTCGTGAACATTGTAAATTATTAAAATGGGATTCACCTAAATACGAAACTGTAAGTCTTATTGTCTAAGACATACATTTTAAAATTTATTTATCTCTACAATCCGAATTTTCTTCAGAAGTTTCATGTTTTTCTAAAGTCTTATACTCAAGCGATTTTTTGCACAAATTCAGTTTATTAGTAATTATTTAGACAGTTAGTCTGTAGCCGAAAAGCACTCAAGATGGTACATGTTCAACGTTTTCATCAACACTAGTGGTCAACATTCATTTTGATCTTGGATCATCTTTGCAGTCTTGATAGATTTTACCGAGTTTCACCAGAAACCTTAATTACTCAGTTTGTATACTTTTGGAATAGAGCTTGTCAATGGTAACATTGAGACATTTTGATATTATTTATAGTTTTAATTATATCTTATTTTAATTCTCTTAAAATGAGCTTGTATATTAAGTATAATAGTGATTTTTCACTTGTTTACTTTAGTCTCTGTTATATTTTTCATATCAAACACCTCACTGATTACTAAAGCTATCATTTACACGCAAAATATTAAATCAAGCTAATTCAAATCAGGATAATGATATACTAGAAGAAGACAAATCTTCCTGTATTCGCCTTTTGATTGGACACTAAGGGATAGAAAGAAGGAGGTTTGCAAAATATGAAGAGTTAGGATTCATGTTCATTTGTGTTATTGGTTAAAGAGAAGGTGGTTGTTCTGTTTAACGTGAGCGAACTTACAATTAGCAGGTTCTATTATCAAGTGAGCCGGTTAAGCGTGCAATAAAAAAGTCTGAATTCATAACGACTGAAACAATGAGTTTTTAGGTATCACTGGATTTGATAGTTTCAAATAAATTGAGGATTGGGTAGAAAGTTAATAATAAGATTTATTTCCTTTAAAGAATTAGTTTACATTAAGTCACAGATTAGAATAACGGTCTAAAAATCAACGGATGACCACGAACGTCTCCCCTTCTTGTCACAATCATACAAATTACCTTCAAACAAATTCACTTCTGTACACTTTAATAGTGTTGGTGGTTAGTTTGTGCTACAAACTCTTACCTTACAATTAGTAGTCAGAAATGTTTTTAGTTATTCTCTTAGTAATAGAACCTTGTTTTCACCGACATTCAAACTCATCCCGTAGTATACTGAGCAATGCTTACTAGTGTTGGAGACGGTTGGAAGAAAGTTGGAGGTGGCCAAGCCAAAACGTAGCATCAGTCCGTAAAGTCACTAACTTCCTATCTGAGCCATGTTGGTAGATGCAGACTACTTGGTTGGGGTCTGCATGACTATCGTAACCAATGGTTGGAAACTCTGTGTGACATGTTTCAGAATCGATCACAATGGCGTCGGTGTATACACTCTCTGTCTTCCCTTAAACTGTGAGATTAAAACTACTCTATTCCTTTCTTTCTACGAACTAATTCATTCTCCCTGTATCATATCCTTATGTGCAATCTTTCTTTTATATATTACTAACTTTGAAGTAACTATTATGAATTTGATGTTCATCTTGTTGTGCTAATAAGGTGTGGCAACTTGGACCGATGTATGTATGTACCTAGTCCTACGTTGTAGTTGACTGACTGGGAGTATTAGCAATAAAATGAAACACATTTTTACACATGAACCACTTTATACCCAATGAAATTAACTCTACATTAGATTTACATCGAATTACAACACCACGATTATTATTGTATGTTATAATAATCGCTAAAATGATCTGTTATTGTCATTCCAAATGTGTGTTTGTATCTCTATAAAATTTGTAGATTGAAGATCGTAACAAAAGATCATTTTTCAGTACTGTTTTAGTGAATGGTGTACGTTATCGAAATACCAGTGCGTAAGTAATACATAGTAATTAGTATGTATAATGTTGTTATCTATCCATATTTCTTGTGTAAATCTCTTTTTTTTTAATGACTGAATATGAGTTTATCTGTAAAATGGTAATCTACTACATTTTTGATCTTACAGTTTATGGGGTTTCGCGCTTTTTGTTGAAACTGTTCAACTGGTTGTTGTAATATGTTGTGATAGTCTACTTGATTATTTAAAACATAAGTCCTTTGAATGTTGACCTAAACCACTTCGGTAGATGTTGTAAAGTCTTTGATTTGTATTTTTCTTAGTAATCGTAACGTATATTTTAAATATTTCGGTTGTATAGTCTAAATTGTGTCACTGTGTCGCAGCTGTATTCATTCATTTTTTATCTTCATTTAAATCTCTATTTAAATGTCATTTATAACCCTTCATTTTTTGATCTCATTTGTTCTTTTTGAACTTGGAATCTTTAGATGTCTAAATTTCCTTTAACACAGTTGAAACTGATCTGTCTCGTTTACTCCCATTTTTCTGTACTTCTATGAGTTATGGCAACTTAGTCTAATGCATATTCATACCAAGTTATATGTTCTCTATGATAATCAACGGATTAGTTGTTTAAATTAACTAGCGACTTATAACAATCTCTTTAAAAGTTTTAAATTTCATTTATTGGTTTCTTTCCTTTCAATTTCGCATAAAAATTTCATTTGCAAAAGTCACTATGTTGTATAACTTTTGTAAATACATTCATAGTATAAGGGATGACGATAATATATCATTCATGGAAGGTGTCATTCTCAAAATTTACTAACTTCTGGTCAAAATCGAATGTGGATTGTTCAATTTTTCGATTGCACTCAGTAATCAAATACCTTTTTGTAATATAACTCAAAGCAGCAAAATTCAAAACACACGTTTCGAACTATTTGAGATTCGTCAGTTTATATACCAACATCTTAATGATGATGTTCATAGTAAAGAGATTGGTTTTGATTTTATTCCCAGTGTGTAAACAACATTAAAGCAGGCGTACATTCAGTTAATGAGTCTCACTTAGTCTAAAACACACTTTCTAGATTCCACTGTTAACCGTATATTGAATATATCGAAGCTTCTAGTTTAGTTTATTGTAATTGTTTATTTATTCTATCTTAACAATACTTTCTTTCTTTTAACAGATGTAAATCAAAAAAGTATGCTGAACAAGCAGCTGTATTAGTTTGTCTACATGTGTTAGGCATACCCGATGGAAAAGTTTACGCTGATGAAAATAATAAGGTTAATCTTAATGATAAATAATTTTAGACAATCTCTTTTATGATCTGTAAACAAAACACAAATGTAACCAAAAGAGAGGTTTACTTCAATATTTTGATAAATTTGATTTTTGGATAAAAAAAATTGCTTTTTTTATTGAGTTATGTATTTGTTAACTTACATAGAGATATAACATTAGCATCTTCAGTCATATTCAGCAATTCTAATTTAAATTTTAAAACATATCTGTAGTTCCTCATATTTTTTTTCAAATACGTCCTGATAATAGTAACCAAACTAGGTTTGAAAGTTGTGTTAAAGAATAATCGCTTTCACCTTTCAACTTGTGTCAAGATATCCATCTACCAACCAAAGGACGGGTTTACTGCGCGGCTGTTCGTTCCGTCCTACTTTATGGTAGTGGAACATGGCCGGTAAGAGTAGAGGATATTCGTAAGTTACTAGTATTCGACCATACGTGTCTTCGAAACATTGCTCGTACATCCTACGACCACCGAGTATGTAATGCAGTTGTTAGAAAACGGATACTGGGTAAGGATGGCAAACGGATTGATGAAGTAGTTCAACTTCATCAGTTGAGATGGCTTGGACACTTGTTACGTATGCTGAACCGTCGACTGCCCTAACGTGCGATGTTTTGTGATGTAGGAGTAGGAGTAGGTTGGGGGAAAGCTACGGGTGGCCAAACCAAAACATTGCACAAACCCATGAGATCACTGACAAGTGGACTGAGTCATGTTGATAGGTGTAAACTGCCTGGTTAGGATCGGCGAGATGATAGCAACCAATGGTTAGAGACGTTGAATGACATGGTTCATAATCGTTTTCAATAGTGGAGATGCATCCACTCTTTGTGTTCTCTCAAATTCTAATCTTCTGAATTCTTCATGTCCATCCATCCATCATCCAGTATTAAATACCAGTTAGTTTCTTTGCACAGTTACATTCAAGCTTACTCGATAGGATCCCGTTGATGCTAACACAATTAAACATTTCTAACATTAGTTGATTGACGGTAATTTGCAGGAAACTGTGTGCGTGGGTTTTTCACTAGTTAACACTCGTCGACAAGGCGTACTTGCAATCTTTAGGGAATTGATGCTGCCCATGGGATTCGAACGTTTTCCACTTAGCTCCACAGTTTATGGTGTTACCAACTAGCTGGTGTCTTGGTACAATATACGTGATATCGATTCACATAGACTAATATCCTCATTATCACTTGTTTGATAGAATTCACTTACTGCTAAACGGCTAAATAAATATGATCTTGGTCACTACCTAATAACTGGTCAGTTATTTGTTAATTGACAGTCAATTAAAAGCTGATGAAACGTCTAGTCGTTGTCATAGTAAAAGGAACAAATGTAAAATATTCTATAAGAACTACATGGCTATCAAATAGTCCATTTGTAACTTCATGTAGAGTTGTTTGTGAATGATGTTAAATATTAAGTTGGTGGTAGGAGGTAATCGACAGGAAACTCTGGACTTAGGTTTTGTGTTGTTTCTTACTTGTCAGCACGGCGTACCTGTAATCTTGAAGGAAATGATACTCCTTGTCGGATTCGACCACTTGTCACCCAGCTTCACAGTCAGAAGTAAGGACCTAAAATACATGACATTGTTGACCACTTAGTGATCAATCCGATAGGGAGTATCATTTCCCTCAAGTCAAGATTACAAGTACACCTTACTGACGAGTGCGAAATAATACAAAACCTAGGTCCAGGATTTCCTTTCGACTGCCTCTAGACACCACCTTACATCTCAACGCAGTGCACATTATGTCGAACCACTTAGACTACTGATCACATTCTAACTTGATCGGTAAAATTCTATTCACACCAAGAAGAACTTGACATACATATCATCGGTCACTACTCAGTGGTCAATCAGTTGTAAATAATTAGTAGTAGAAGAGTGAAAATATGTAACAAGTTAGCCAATTAGTCATAATCAACGTAGAACTTCGCATAAACATTAATTTTTTTAATTTTTCATACTATTACAACAAAATAAAAATGATTAAATAAATAGAAAGAGGTTCAAATCATTGTGATAGCAGTAATAATCAAGAAGTATATGATTTATGAGAACAGAATGAGATGTGTATCCAGAGAATACCGAAACCTAAGGTGTAGGGTAAGATGAAGAGTAAATACATCTACCCCATTGTGACCGATTGTGAGCCGAATCACCCAACACTAACTTCTGTTATAGCGAATTCATCTAAATAGTCTGTATCTACCAGGATGACTTAAATCATTGATCACTGACTTGATGTACCGGTGCCACGTTATATCTAAAGTTAGAAATAATGAAAAAAGTGAGAGTTTGGTTCTACAAATATCACTACTTTAGTCAGTATTCATTCTTGTCTTCTTTTTGCAGTAATTAGACTGCTATTGTATAACTTATATACTTTATTTGCTCAACAGTACAACGCCGTAGTAGAAAATCAAATAAACACTGAGAACTAACGAGTCAATCAAAAGGTTCTGTGTCTAGATGTCTATTTTACTTTCAAAAGCACTTAAAGCATATCATGAATACTGATAGATTAAAAAAAATTATAAATCAAAGACAACACATGTTTTTGGTTAACACAAATATCAAACGACGAGATTAAATTTACTGCTGCATCTCTGAGGTAGTGAAATAGTCAATAGTTAAATATGATTCTAAATAGTAGTGTGTACAGAAAAAAGGACAATTCTAAATAGAAGAATTAGCCGAGATATTGAAATGAACGCATAAATAGATAAAATAATTAGTAGCAATAGGTAAGTCATAAAATGATTATACTACTTGTTAAGAATAACAAACCATAAATTTATTGAGATTGTGAGACTTTCAAACCAATTGTAATTATTTGAATAATTCTACTCAGTTAGCATAGGAGATTATTGAAATAGAAGTGTTACATTGTGAACTGATTCTGTGGTGTGTGCTACTTCTCCTGATAGATATAAGCAGTAAGTAGCATCAATCGGAAGTAGAATTCCTACCAGCAGAAGATTGAATTCAAGCGAACAAGAAGGGTAATAGAAAGCAGTTGTAATAACAGAATTGGAAGAACTATGAATCTTGTAAAGGGCAATTGAAGGAAGATGTGCAAATAATGTATTTAATGTATGGTTTTCATTTTTTACGAAGCCCATAATAGGCTCTCACAACCCAAACATCGATCAATCATATGGTCATCACGTTCGGCAGTGAATCCCTAAACTTAAAATCACTGAATAAGCGGTCAGTGAATTGCATTTTTTACACCAGTGAATTAGCGATACTTTGTGGATTTCTTTCTCATCCCCTATTTATCCTTGTAATCCATCTATTACAGCTTCTCAACTGAAATCCTGATATTTCATCATTAAGTCTTAGATTATTTTTAGTATAAGAGGTAAGTGTATGGTGCGTCCTACTTATATTGACATAAGTAGTATATAACGCAAGTCAGGAATGTTATGTCTGGCAGCAGAAGATTGGGAAGAAAAAGAAAGGAAGAACGGGAATAGAAAGCAATTAGAATAGAAGTGCAAGAATAATCAAGTCCGAGACAATTATTTAACATTTCGCAAATTAGGTATTATAGAATGGTTTTTCTATTTTACCAAGTAACTCTGTAATGTTGTGCTAAATATGATTCGGTTGTTCTCACCCATGTTCTCCTTCACTACAAGTGGACACTGTCTGATTTTCAATTTACATCACTAGTTCTTCCTAGGTTCAATGAACTCCAACCCTTCTTTTTTGAGGTTCATTTATCCTACTTAAAATTTATAAGTAGTTCAAACTTTTAATTTAAAAAATGTCAATCTGAAAAAATTTACGATTGACCGCCTTATCAATCAAGAATTTCGTGTGGAAAACCCAGAGACAAGCTGCGATGTAAAGACCATACAGCTCATTGGTTTGAATAAACTGAAAACATAAAAAGTCCTGTTTTTCAACCAATTTGATCATACTATATATTGCAAACTGATTGTATACTATAAATTGTTTAATAATATCGATAACGTCAATACCCTATACTATCCTCAAAACAATAAATCAGAACTATCTAGCTGGATTATATTGTTTTACATCATGGGAATAAGTTTGTTACTGCTAATATCTGTAAAGATACTGGAGAACTCTGTTGCTTGTATCATGTTACTCTCAACTACAGTACATAGTTGTTTGCTTATCATACAATCTTTCATAATTCGACGGTTATGCCTAGAATGGAGACAAAATATTTCATTAATAATAAATGAATCTTGAAACTACAAATAATTCTGTTTTTTTAAATTTGTGAGTGATATATACGAGTATCAGTCTGGTTCTCTAAGCATAACATGATACTAACTTGATGGTTCCAACAATTCTGACGTCACTGAACTCATGAAAAGAATTAATTGATCGACGATCGTTAAGTATATACCCAAAACAAACCAGAAAATCAAGAATGATTAGGAAGTATTCAGTGGGTAACCAAATGGAGATATATATATATGCAAATGCATTCATATATATATATATATATATAAATATATGCTAATGAAGTTGAACTGAATCATGGTTGGTAGCGTGCACCCGTCAGCACATCTCATCATTTAACGTTGAATTGATATGCTAGGTTTGTTGACCTGTAATGTTTGTATGAACTGATGATTATTTTTTACTTGACTTCCCGCTCAATTCTAAATACAATATGTTAATTTGTGCTCACCTAGTTCTATTTGGCTTAAATTGTACGATTTTGGGAATTATTAGTTAATACATTAATTCGAGTACTTCTGATCATCATATCAACCTACGAGTATACTATAATCACCATAAGGAAATTTACCCTATTATGATTTCTTTACTTTATTCAATGATTCACTAAGTTTTATTTGTCACTACAATTGTGATTCAGTTAATCGAATGGAACTACAACTCAAAGTCTTATCTAGGTTATAACTATTGATGATTATACCCATTTGATGAATATAATTTCTCTTAAACTGTTTATTTTGTGCAAAACAACCAATAGCTCGTAACATATTCTTTAGCCTGAAAACTGCCATTCAGAACTCCAGGTAGATTAAAAGGGTATATCGCAAAGTTTTTAGTTGTCAAGACTTACAAACTCACTTGATTGTATTTATTTATTTATTTCAACACATAGATAATCGTACAAAGAGGCACCAAATACATATGCGCCACACGAATCTCATTCGATATGTGTGAGGGCTGTGATACTG